CATTCCACACATTCGTGCGTTGGGTCAGCAAATAGAGTAGCATTGCAGACAGCGCAGGCTTTGGTGATGGGAGGAAAGGAGAATGTGAGAGTGCGGGTTATGTTTGACTCAGGAAGTCAACGGTCATTCGTTACGGGCAAGGTAGCTCAGAAGGCAGGAGTGCCAGTAAAGAGGAAGGAATGGGTAGAAATTAGAACGTTCGGACAGGAGAAAGTTGAAGGGAAGTTGAGAGAAGTGTTTGAATTGAGTTTAGCCCCAGTACAGGGGGGAGAGAGTGTTAGCATTGAAGTTTATGCAGCAGAAGCATTTCACAGATTAGGAATGAGCATGTAGAGACAAGGAAGAAAGATTACCCACATTTGCAAGGGTTATGGTTTTCCGATGTTTGTAAGACCAAGAATGTGTTAGAAATAGAGTTACTAATTGGCGCAGATTATTTATGGTTATTTCAAGAAGGGCGTACGGTTAGGGGCAAGAGTGATGAACCTGTTGCGGTACAAACCAAATTGGGATGGGTGTTGTCAAGTCCACTGAAGAGTAGCTCTGAAGATGATAATGGTCCTACATCGTGTGCACAGGTAAGTATAAACCTTATTGGGCATGTAACATCAAAGAATAGGTCCCTTGAAGCATGTGTTGAAAAATTATGGGATTATGAAACGTTAGGTATAAAGCATCAAGAGGAAGCTAGTGAGCTATTAAATGATTCAATACATTTCAATGGCCAACGATATAGTGTAAGTTTACCTTGGAAGGAAGGGCATAGTATAGTATATTGCCAACTAATTATAGCTGTAGTGTGCAGAGATTAAAGGGACAGCTTTTAAGATTAAAGAAGGAGCCAGACGTTTTACAAGAGTATGATAGAGTAATTAAAGAACAGTTAGAGCTAGGTATTATAGAACCAGTTGTAGAGTTAGAGAGAGCTGATAAGATCCATTATCTACCACATCATGCTGTGGTTCGTAAAGATGCAAAGACCGCTAAGGTCAGGGTTGTGTATGATGCATCGAGTAAAGAGACTAAGAAGGGTGTATCTTTAAATGACTGCTTGCATGTTGGGCCACCTCTATCCCCGTTGTTGTATCACATTATATTGCGTTTTAGAGAAAAGCGAATAGCGCTTGTAGCAGATATAGAGAAGGCTTTTTTAAATATTGAAATTGATCCGTGTGACAGAGATTGTTTGAGGTTTCTTTGGGTGGGCAACATACATGAAGATGAGGTGAAGCCAGTAGAGTATAGATTTTGTAGAGTTGTTTTTGGTGTGAACTGTTCACCATTTTTGCTGAATGCCACACTTCAACACCATCTTGACCGCTTTTCGAAGGGTAATCCTGTATTGACTCGAAAGTTGAAGGACGGCTTTTATGTTGATGGTCTGGTAACTGGAGAACAAACCCCTGAGCATGCATTATCATTATATGAGGCTTCTAGTAACAATTTAGGTTTCAAGCTAAGGAAATGGCTCAGTAATAGTAAACTTGTATTAGAGAAAATCCAATCAAAGGAAGAAATCAAGCCTGATAGAGGAAACTTGGCATGTGAAGAAACATTTGCTAAGTCATCCCTTTGCATGACAGGCAAAAATGACACATCAGAGAAAGTCCTTGGGTTAGCTTGGAATTGTACAACTGATGAATTTCAGCTTTTGTTTCAGGGTTTAGTTGAGAAAGCAAAATCGCAACCTGTAACCAAACGCAATATTCTTAGAATATTAGCTTGGTTGTTTGATCCATTGGCAATTCTTAGCCCAATGGTAGTAAGTATTAACATGTTGTTTCAAGCACTGTGTTTGGACAAAGTAGATTGGGATTCTGAATTAAAAGGAAAATATTTGAAGCAATGGTTAGGTTGGGTTCATGATCTTGAAGTTGTAGGTCAAACTATGATACCAAGGTGTGTGTATGGAAGTCTAATTGGAAAACCCAAATGTTCATTGCATGGGTTTGGTGATGCTAGTTTGAAAGCCTATTGTGCAGTTGTGTATTATGTCTGTGAATTAAGTTCAGACGAGAATAGTCACAAAATTGAAGAGAATGATGAGACAAAGGTAAAGCGTAGGTTTAGGCATGTAGCGAAACTGCGAGTTCACTTTTGGGAGAGATGGAGAAAGGAATACTTCACGAATTTGAGAGAGCATCATAGAAGTAAGCTAAGAGGGAGAAGAGGAATAGGAACGTGAAGAAGGGAGATATAGTTTTAGTATTTGACGAGAATCTTAAGAGAGGATTTTGGAAGTTAGGTAGGATTGAGAGTTTAATTGTCGGTAGAGATGAAGTGGTTCGAGGAGCGAAAGTGAGAGTGATGACTAAAGGAAATCCAGTATATCTTAATAGACCAGTTCAGAAATTGTATCCTGTAGAGTTAAATGAGAACGGAAGCGGTACGGAAGAAAGAAAGGATAATAAAGTTGAAAATTAAGTGGATGGGTATGATAACCAGAAAGGAAAGACGAAAATTAATGAGAAAGGAAAGACGGAAATTAATGAGAAAGACGGAGAGAAGGGTAAGGTGGAAAGCTGTGTCCATAGTAATAGACCTAGGAGAGCAGCAGCTTTGGATGCACGTTGGAGAACACAAGTCATGTTTGACCCTTACAGGCTCAAAGGGGGGAGTGTGTAGAATAATTTGTAACATTATATTATTGATAACGCTGTAGGAGACCAAACAATGGGTGATTTAGTTGATTGACGTAAGATATGTATCGTATGTCATAAATAATAGACTTCGAATTGATTGTCAGACTGAAAGCACGAGAGAAAACCAGAAGGATTGTTATGTTAGTGTATTTATCGTTTTAAATAAATATGTTTTAAAGTACGCGTGTGTGTTCTATTTCCGATGGTATTGTTCTGATAGTATACAGTCCCCACGAAGCGCAACTGTCTTGCGGTGTAAGACAGAAAAGTGCAACAGTGTAGTTCCATCATTTTTCTCCTCGTTGTTCCAAAAGAACAGGCAAAATTTTATTTATTACATAAGACAAATTTTGAAAACGCCTGTCGATCAATGCTCCGTACGTGCTTCTTATAGCTACATTTGCATATAAAATTATTATTCTAAGTATGCACGCATGTAAAATGGCAAGAGGCTTGCTTTCTGCTAAGTACATGTCTCATAAATCGTAGCATAACATACAACAGTTGGAAGCAGATGAATTGCGCAAATAGTAAATGGAAATAATAAAAAACCTACTCTATTTTACATTAGTCATTCACAAAAAATATTTTCTTATGTTTGTGAACCGGGATTGTCTGGCATGTGTATTTTACTTCAATCTATACCCGCTTAATAAATTCATACGTGATGTCATAATGTCATCAGGTGAAAATCTCACCAAAAATGAAATTTATTCAGGTTCGATGTAGCTATAGTACGTAACATTGTCCGGTATATATATACACTGGGTGCCAAAAGTATGAGTCCAGTCTCAAATTTTTCCAAAAATCGAGAAAAGTGTATCTATAAGGAAAATATTCTGTCATTTGCTACTTGAACATGCGCATTTATATCTGCAATTGTCTCCCACATTTTCTCTTTCATAAATTTAATTTTCTCCATGAATGTGCGTCAATGATTGCAAAAGGTTTGAGTTAAGGAGTTAAAGGACAAGTTATTGCTCTAAGAAACGATGGTACATTTCTTATAGTGACAAATTGCTGCAAATATAAAACTGTCAAAGGATAAACACAACCCGAGAAAAACAATCAGCAAAACAACAGTAACAAGGTTGGCTGCAAGTGGTTCGAAAGGAAGAGTTGTAGTTTTTGTTGTAGTTCTTGAATTTCTTTGCCCATAACAATCTCTGGCGCTTATTTTTAGGATGCAGCGACGGTTAGAAATAGCAACATTTCCTTCCAGACCACTTGCTGCCAATCGTCTTGTGTTGTGTTAATTCAGGATTGGATATTACCAGCAGTTGCAGTTCTATTACGTGAAGAAGTTATATTTATGAATTGATTCTCTTGTGGTGTAGTACACCTTGGTCTTCCAGACTTTAGTAGGGTGGAATAGGATTTAGTTTTTTTGAACCTTTCCACGGTTCGCTGCACAGCACCATTCGACACTTCTATATCTTTGCGGCAATTTGTCGCTGTGAGTAACCTTCGTTTCTTAAAGCAACAATATAACCTCTAATTCCTTTGTTTAAATTTTTAGCCATCCTTCACGCACGCTCGTGTAAACAATTAAATAAACATATTATTTCAAAATTTATGAAGGACAAAATGCCGGAGACAATTGCAGTCCCAATGAGCATGTTCAAGTATCTAATTTCTAGAAGATTCACCTTTCTCGATATTTTGGCAAAATTTGGGACTGGACTCTTACTTTTGGCACCCAGTGTGAATTTCTTCGAATTACTAGATCGACGCTCTACCAACTGAGCTACACGTCTTAAATCCGTCTGACCGTGTAGTTCAGTTGGTAGAGCGTCGATCTAGTAATTCAAAGGTCGCGGATTCAAGGCCCAGCCGCGGCAGGCAATATCTTTCTGCTTGCGCGCGTTCTCGAAATTATGAAATACACACTTTAGACCACTTTCAATATATATATATATATATATATATATATATATATATATATATATATATATATATATATATATATATATATATATATATATATATATATATATTTAATAGATTTGAAGATTTGTAATCCAGGCATTTTATTAAATTATAATTTTTACAAAATTATACAGCGTTCTCCGCATTGTAATAATTTGTTTTGAGCTTTCGACTCGGTACTTCGTG